GACGTCTGGTCGTCATGGCCCTTATGCCTTGGGCGACACACGTGCTACAATGGCTAATACAAAGGGACGCCAACCCGTGAGGGGGAGCAAATCTCAAAAAATTAGCCTCAGTTCGGATTGGAGGCTGCAACTCGCCTCCATGAAGTTGGAATTGCTAGTAATCGCAAATCAGCCATGTTGCGGTGAATACGTTCTCGAGTCTTGTACACACCGCCCGTCAAATCACGAAAGTCGGTAATGCTTGAAACCAACTAACTAACCCGCAAGGGAGGTAGTTGACAAGGGTAGGATTGGCGATTGGGGTTAAGTCGTAACAAGGTATCCGTAGGGGAATCTGCGGATGGAAAATAAATATTTATAAAACGGTTCTGTCTAGTTTTGAGAGTTAATTTGCTTAAAAGTATAAAATTATATATAATATAGTTAATATCATGCAAAAAAAAAAAAAAAAACAAGCATCTTCTTTGAGAGAAAATTAAGAGGATAAATTCTTTGTCAACCTTGTGCCCTGTTGGGGCAAAATAGAAGCAAAAAAAGTTAGTTAAATACAATCAAAGCAAAACTTATAAAATAATATTTGATGAAGGGTTATTGCGAGAAAGTTAAAAGGAAAGGTCAAAAGTAGTTAGTTTCCTAATCCCAATTACTCCTAATTATTTTTGGTCGAAAAAGTGAATGGGAACAGTTATTAGTCTGCCAAAAAGCTAATGCCACGCTATCGAGGTAAGAGGTAGCAAAACTAAAAGTTGAGTAATATGAACAACATTAATAACATATTCAATAAAAACGAAATAGAAAATAAACTAAAAAATTTTCAAGAAGGAAAGGATTATTCTGTTTCTCCAACTGATGAACCTAATGTAAAAACCTATAATTTTCATAATGATAAATTAAGAAGTGTGTTTAGAAACGACCGAGTGCCAGTACGAATAACCCAAGAAGCCTATGATGGGAAAGATTACACTTATCGCGGTCATTTTGAGGAAGGGAAAGATTATCGCTATATACGCAAGGATTGGTATTATGGTGAAAATTATCAAGGAAACCGAGGAACAAACATTTTTGGGGAGGGTGACTTCAAAAAATTCATGGATGGAATAAAATGAGATGAGCATAGCGAAATAAGAGGTTGAGGCGAATCCGGAAACATCCGCACCGGAGAAAAATTTTAATACCACTGTTTCACCAGTAAATGATAATAAGAAGGATAATGATTCTCTTCCTTATCTAATTGGTGGTTCAGTAATAATGGCTTCGGCTGGAATTATTGGTTATTGCTTGATGAAAAAGAATCGAGGGAAAAAAGTTGCTTAATGTTCTGAAAATCAGGGAGATAGTTGATAAAGTGGGAGGAGGTGGCTTCCTCCCTTTCCCTTAAAATAATAATATATAGAAGTAGTTAATGATTGTCTAGTCGAAAATAAAAATTTAATAAAAATTATAAATATACTTTTGAAAAGTAAGTTGGTTTTCCTCACCGCTTAATTTTGAGAGGTATATTTTTCTACTCTCTCTTTCTTTGAAAACTGAACGCAAAAAAAGATTTTACCGAAATATAAGTTACTAAGAGTGTATGGTGGATAACTTGGGACTAATAGGCGATGAAGGACGTGGTATCCTGCGATAAGCTTTGGGGAGTTGGAAAATAAATTTTGATCCAGAGATTTCCGAATGGGGCAACCCGTTATCAGTAATGTGATAATATCTAGGTAGTTTTCTACTTAGAGGTAAACCCGGAGAACTGAAACATCTTAGTACCCGGAGGAAAAGAAAATAAATAATGATTCCCGTAGTAGTGGCGAGCGAACCGGGAACAGCCTAAACCAATTGATTTATCAGTTGGGGTCATAGGAAAACGAATTAAGAGTTACAAAAATTATTTATAGAAGAAGTGGTTGGAAAGCCAAGCCAAAGAAGGTGAAAGCCCCGTATTCGAAATAAATAATTCTCTTCGTTTCATCCTGAGTACCACGAGACACGTGAAATCTTGTGGGAAGTCACGGGGGCCACCCCGTAAGGCTAAATACTCATTAGTCACCGATAGTGAACTAGTACCGTGAGGGAAAGTTGAAAAGA